AATAATAACATTAAAGTCAAATGAAATTGTATAATCAGTAGAATTGTTTTAAAATGTAATAAATAGCATCAAGAATATAAATAAATATCAGTTTGATCATGACTAACAAATATTCATTCTTCCATTCGATAAAATACATAAATTTAACTTGTCCAGCAAGAAAATTCTTATGATTGATGATAATTAACATAACCATAATTTAATACAAAATAAAAATAATTCACTAATAATAGTTTCAAATGATGCTTCATTAAATGCTTGAAATAATTATAAATAAGATTAATTATCTGGAAGTAATAGTGGTCTAATATCACTAACATGAACTTTAGCAATTCTTTTTGTATCCATATCTTCAACAGTGTAAATTGGATGATGATTTTCAACAATAATCTTTGGATCAATCGAAAATCTTGGGTCTAATTTAGATCTGTTTGTAAATACTCGAGTTAAAACTGTTGTACCTAAATCATATTCAGGATTTTTACGATGATAATCATATCGACCTTTTGTTTTTTGTTGTTGTTTCAATATAATTTCTTTAACTGTTTGATGATAATATTTTAAATTGAGAACCAATTGTCGAAAATAATCATGAGGATCAGGAAGTGTTAATGTTGTTACTGGAGGATCAGTTGGAAGATTTGCTTGTCGACCAAATGTGAGTGCATATGGAGAGATATTTGTTGTTGAATGCACACCGGTGTTGTAAGCGAAAACGATCGGATATAAATATTCATCCCAATTGTTTGTTTCATTATCTGTTAATTTGGCAAGTTGAATAACGAATGTACCATTGAACCTTTCAACTGCTCCATTAGATTGTGGTCTATAAGGTGTACAAAATATATGATGATAACCTATTAATTTTGATAATGAATACATCAAATTGTTCTTAAAACTTGTACCTTGATCTGAAATAATTACTTTAGGTACACCAAACTGACAAATGTAATTTTTAAAAATAGCTTCTGCTGTAACACCAGCCGAACAAGAAGGTAATGCAACAGCAACAATAAATTTAGTGAAATAATCGGTGAGACAAAGTACATATTTATTTTCTTGTGGTGTTATTGGAAATGGGCCACAAAAATCCATTCCTAGTAATTGATTAGGACCATCCGGTGGTGGTATTGGATGAAGAAAACCAGCAGATTTTTGTCGATTTACATTAAAGGCTTGACAAGGAACACACGATTTGATATGATCAATAACTGTCTGTTTCATTTCGGGCCACCAAAACTGTTTTTTAAGTTTTTCTAATGTTCTTCGAATTGCAAAATGACCACCAATAAGAGGATTATCATGATAAGAAATAAGTAATTGTTTGATCATAGATGATGGAATATAAAATAATTTACGTTTAGTCTTTCCATGTGGGATAGATACTAATTTATATAAAATTCCATCTTGATAAACAAAAGTCATATTTGTGTTCTTTTGTAAATCATTAATAATCTTTTGAACTTGTTTATCATTAGATTGATATTCTTTTAACTTCGTTATATCAAAAAATTTTTTGTCAGGATTTAAATCGTTTGAAGGTGATGGAGATGATGATGATGTTATATGTTGTGATGGAGATGATGATGATGTTGTATGTTGTGATGGAGATGATGATGTTATTTGTTGTGGTGTTATTTTAGATTTCGATCGAGTAATTGCACCAATTAATTGAATAGAAGAAGATTTATCTTTTTTAAAACCTAAACCATAATCGTGATCAAGTAATTCATCTTCAGCAGTAATAGGATGTCGTGAAAGATAATCTGGTAAACAATTATATTTTCCTTTAACATGTATAATTTTTTGAATATTAAATTCTTGTAATAAGATCGATATTTTTTCAACACGTCTATTTAAAATTTTCTTATCCATCATATGACAAATAGGACAGTTATCCGTATAAATGATAATATCACGACCAAGTAAAAAAGACTTCATTCGAGTAAAACATTTAAAAATTGCTAATGCTTCAAGTTCAATTGGAATATATCGTTTTTGCGTTGCATTCAGTAATTCTGAATGATAATAAAGTATTCTTTTTTCATTATCAATTTCTTGATAAAGTATACCACCTAAACCAACTTGAGAAGCATCCGTAGATAAAAATACTGGATATTTATCATCTGGAAAATTTAAAAAGAGTGGTGATGACGTAAGAATATTTTTCAAATCATAAAAAGATTTTGATTGTTCAGATCCCCATTTGAATTTGTGTCGATTAAGTTCTGATAAATTCGTTACGGCATGTATAGGTGCGGCAACTGATGCAAATGCAGGTATAAATTTTCTATACCAAGATAATGAACCTATAAAACGATTAGCTTTTGATAATGATTTTGGTTCTGGTAATGCAATAATTGATTTAATACGATAAGGTAGTGGAGTAATAATATTTGATGAAATTATATGACCTAAATATTCAATTTTTTCTTTTGCTAATTCACATTTTTCAGGATTTAATGTTAAATTATGTAATTTTAATGCATTTAATACTTTATTTAAATGAAGTAAATGTTCATCATAAGTATGACTAAATACAACAATGTCATCTAAATAAATTAAAGAACAATCAGTACATGAAGATAATACATTGCGCATAGTTCTTTGAAAAGTTGGCGGAGAATTACGAAGTCCTTGAGGCAAAACCAACCATTCAAATAAACCAAACGGCGTTATAAAAGCAGTTTTAGCACGATCAGAAGGATTAATTGGCAATTGCCAAAATCCTGATTTTAAATCTAGTTTCGAAAAAAATGAATATCCTGCACCTAAAGATTGAAGAGTAATTTCCATGTTTGGCAAAGGATAATTATCTTTAATTGTTATAGAATTCAATTTCTTGTAATCATTCACCAATCTCCAACTTTGATCTTTCTTTTTAACTAACAATGTTGGAGCTGCATATGGTGATTGAGAAGTACATATAAGTCCAGCATCAAGTAATTGATCAATCATTATTTTTAATTCAGCATTTATTGTTGGATTACCAGGATATGCTTTTGATACTGGTGGTGTATGAGGAATTGTCTCGATAAAATGAGTAATTTCTGTTTGTGCAATTTTATAATTACTTATATCAAATGTAGATTCAAATTGAAATAATAAAGATTGAAGTTTATAATGTTGATCTGGATTAGAAGTATGATTGATTAATTTTAAAATAGATTGTTGAGTATTATTAAATGATGTTGTTATAAGTGTGTTCAATTGTTGCATTGGTGTTGATTGTATAAGATTTGATAATTGTAAAGAATGATCAGTTAATGATGTTTTAGAATCCATTTGTATCATAATCTTTTGATTATTAAAATTAAAAATAATCAATTTTTTCTTCGGATAAATTTCTAAATCATATTTCAACAAATAATCAAGACCTAATATAATATCAGTACATAAATTTGTAGTAATAAATGCTGGAATAGATGTTGTAGCATCACCTATAGAAATTGATAAATGAACAATACCAGTTGTTTTAATCTCATTGAGCCCATCAGCCATAAAAAATTGTTGTGGTGTATTACGATGATATATTAATTGATCAAGATTTTTTAAACAAGTTCGATTAATAAAACAATGTTGAGCACCAGTATCAATTAAAATTTTCATTTTTTTTTTATTAACATGTGTGGTTATAAAAATTAAGGAAGGAGTAGATGGATGTTGAGGTGAATTATTGAAGTCAAGACCATCTATCATTGACTTCGATTTCCGAAATGGTGACAATAACGTGCTAAATGATTTGCAGAACCACAATTAAAACAACATTTATATGATTGAGATTGTTGTTGAAAACGATTATTTTTATGTGTATTATAATTATTATTATAATTATATGATGATGATGGAATTTTTTGTGGTGATTTAACAGAATTTACTTGACGAGATGAATTAAAAAATGAAGATTTTGAAATTTGATTCAAATAACCATGTTGATTATTATCATTATGAGGAGAATAATTAGTATTATTATTATAATAATGATTTTTATCATTTGCATCACGACGATAATCATTAAATTGATTTTTTATTGTTGAACCATTAATATTTGAATAAGAATTTGATGCTGTTAATTCATTATTATTAATTGAACCACCAGTAAATGCATTATTTAATGTAGTAAGTTCTTCAGCTATTTTTGCTTGTGATAAAAATGCTTCTGGATTTGCAGGATAATTTCTTCGAGTTTCAGTAGATAAAGATTGACGAAGACCGTTCATGAGATATCGAACTTGTGTTGATTCATTCATTTGTGGATCAGCTTGTTTCATTATTTTCATCATTTCGACATAATATTGTGTAACCGATTGATGAATTGTTTGATGATACTTTTTAAGTTTATCAAAAGCCATATCACGTTGTAAATTTGATGTAAATGATTTGCGTATTTCATCAATAAATATGGTCCAGCATGTAAAGTTGTGTTGTTTGTACCATTGTAAAGCTTCACAAGCAAGACATATATGAATTAATTTTAATTTTTCATTATCATTTAAATGCATTATATTAAATTGTTGTTCAATTTCATCAATCCATGTTGTCACGTTGTCTTTACCACCATAAAATTTTAATGGATCTTTAATGAATTTGTCGATCAACGCTTTAGCAATTGTTTTTGATAAATCATTTATTTGTTCACGATTAGCATTAACAACAACAAGTGGATGTAATGCTGACGATTCATTTATCTGTTCACCATTAGTATTAACAACACGATCAGGAATTTGTTCACAAGAAGCATTAACAACACGATCTTGAATTTGTTCACGATGAGCATTAATAACATGATAAGGAGTTTGTTCACGATGAGCATTAACAACACGAGCAGGAATTTGTTCACAAAAAGCATTAACAACACGATCTTGAATTTGTTCACGATTAAATTTAATATATTCTTGTATAAATAACTGACATAAATGTGCATATGATTGAAATTTATCTTGATTTAATGTATACCAAATAAAAACATCATCTTCAAAAAAATATGGAATAAGCTCGAATCGTTCATCAAATGTTAAATTAAATTCCATAAATTTCGATTGAATATGTTTTAACCATAAACGAGCATCATCACTACCATTATATGATTTCACATGATGACGAAATACTTCTAATAAAGATGGTTTATCATCACGTTCTGTTATAGTATATTCACCAAGTGTAGGTGGTTTATCTTCAATAATTGTTTTTGTTAATAATGATGAATTTTCATTAGAATTTCTTGTTGTAACTTGTGTATCACATTGAGGATCAGTAACATCTATTGATTCAACTTGATTACTTTGATGTTCGTTCATAATTAATTATAAATTAACAAATCAATTAATTATATATATGTAAAGTCACTGCAGGGTCGCCATGTTAGATGTACTGCCTCTCTTTAAGATGTTTATTCGTTGAATCGAGAATTAAAAAGAAAACAACAACTTAATATATACTAAAAGAAAAAGGAAAAGAAGATGAGTCACAAGGAGAGAAAGAAAAGA